ACCCGGATTCGTGATTTGACGGTCCCGGAGGGTCCGTGGGAAAATATGGACCTGGGCGTATGCTCGGAATCGAATTCCGAGGTCCCTGGCCCGAGTAATGAATTTTTACGTAAAATTGTTAAATCGAAGTTTTAAAGAATTAAAGAATCTAAATATTCATTGAAATCCTAGGTATCGGGTTCGGATTCTGGTTCCGAAACTTGGTACAAATCCAAAATATTAATTAAGACTTACCCGTAAATTTGGTGTCAATCCGAGTAGTTTAAGGGAGTTTTGACCCGTTAAAAGGATATTAAGAACTTGAAGTTCAATGAGTTGATTCAATTGGTTTTGGGTTTTGATTCCTCGATTTAGCATTATTTTGAGTGTTTCGAGGGTTCGAGTAGGTCCGCCTCGTGATTTCAGACTTGTCGGTATATTCGGGCGGGGCTCGGGAGCCCCGAGCGTCAAATGGTCGAGCCTCGAGTGAAGTTAGAATTTGAAAAAGGCCTGAAGTGTGCTGCTTCTGTCATAACCGCATCTGCGGTTCTTGGACCGCAGAAGCGGGACCGCAGATGCAGTCACTTGATCGCAGAAGCGGCCAAGGCAGGCCCAGGGGAAAACCGCAGAAGCGGCCCAGAAACCGCATAAGCGGTTTCGCTTATGCAGCCCCCAGACCGCAGATATGGTCCAGCCCTCTTTTCCTAAAGCCGCAGAAGCGGCCCATTTTCCGCAAGTGCGGGACCGTAGAAGCGGAAATCGCTGGGGCAGTGAGCTCATTTAATACGGGCTCAAGTGCATTCATCTCCCATTTTCTCTACACTTGGGCGATTGGGGTGCTTCCAAAGAGGGGATTTCAGCATAGTTGTGTAAGGTAAGTAACCTCCCTCCATTACTAGTCTAATTAAATGTATATTAGGTAGATTAAACACTAAAAACTAAGTAAAAATCAAAGGTTAGAGCTAGACCTAGAGTTTTAATAAAACTAATATTTAACCACGTAATTCGCTATGTAATGAACCGGAAATCATAGATTAGTGATCCTTAGGTTGTAGAGAACAACTTCCTTCGAAAAATCTCGGAATCTGGGCACGCGGGTCCGGGGTCGGAATTTAGGAAACGTGTGGGAAAGGTTGGGAAATCACTTAAATAGTTAGAATTCAACCTTGTGAGCCTTATTGACTAGTTCTTACGTTGTTTAAGTAGTTTGTGCTCGTTCGGCTTCGCGTTGAGGGTTTTGGCTTGTTCTTGATATTGGAAGTGTGCTTCGGAGCGAGGTGAGTCTCCTTTCTAACCTTGTAAGAGGGAAATGTCCATATAGGATTAATAAATGTATAATTGTTGCTAAATGCGGGGGCTACGTGCGCACAAGCTGACGAGAGCCCGTGCGTAGCTACTACTATATTGATTGTCCGGGTAGTTTAGGACCCACATCATGCTTTATCTATGAACATCTCTATATCATCTTGCTAATGAGATAGCCCAGGATATACTAGAGGCTTGAAAGAAGATAAAAGTAAACTTGTATACTTGTTGAACTCTTGTATGACATAATTGGATATTTATTGCCTTCGTGTGTATTCTTGATATTTGCTTGATATTTGTGGATCGGGCCGATCGCCTCGGTATGGATAGATGCATCTATAGGCGCACCGTCGATCCTCGGCAAGTGCACAGTTTCTTTATGTTGGTTCGGGCCGTCGCCTCGGTATACTGTGCGCATGATTATTGTGTGGAAACTTATACTCACCTTGTTTTGTTATTATACACAAAATGAAAATATTAAATCATGATATTGTAAGAACATGACTTATGCCTCTTGCCATAAACTGTTGATACTAGTAGCCTTCCATGCTTATAAAATATTTCATATATTATTTGACCTTAGTAAGTATCAAGTCTACCTCTCGTCTCTACTTCTTCGAGATTAGACGGGATACTTACTGGGTACATGTTGTTTATGTACTCATGCTACACTTATGTACTTAAATGTACAGGATCTGAGGCAGGTGGATCTGGTTATTACTCGGGTGAGCATCAGTGAGCCATCTAGGACTTCTACGGTGAGCTGCTTCTCCTTCATGACGATCTGCAGCCGAAGAAGTCTTCTTTGTACTTTTGTTTTCTGTCTATCCTGATTCAGACAGTAGGATAGTATAGTATTCTTTTGTGTATATTCTACTAGTTACCCGTAGCTTGTGACACCAGGTTCTGGCACACACATTAGTAGACTAATTTTGGGTTGTATTAGTATGCTTCCTACATTTCTTACTGTATTTGGTTTCTAAAACCCCATTGGGATCCCTTATCTTTTCTTAAAAATTATGATGTTTGATAAACTTAGAAATGTTTTCCGCACTTGGCTTGACCGGCAAGGTTGTTGGGCGCCATCATGACCTATTATGGAAATGAGTCGTGACATCGCAATTGCGAAATAGTCGCAATTGCGATATTGGGCATTTTCTGATGATTTCGCATTTGCGAAGGGTGGTTCGCAATTGCGAACACTGGCAGGCAAGGCTTTCTTCGCAAATGCGATCAAGCCCTCGCAATTGCCAAGCCTATTGGGCTCGCAATTGTGAAGCCTGACATCGCAATTGCGAGATCAGAGCTGTGTAGCTGAACCTGCAACAGCCATTTCCCTAAGTCCAAATTCACTCTGTGGCCTATCCAAAACTCACCCGAGCCCTCGGGGCTCCAAACCAAAAGTGCACGCAAGTCCAAAAACATCATACAGACTTGCTCGTGCAATCAAATCATCACAATAATATCAACAACTATGAATTAAACCCCAAATTCATGAAACCACTCAAAAACATCAAAAATTCCAATTTCTCAACTATAGGTCCGTTTTATACCAAACCAATTCCGATCTTTACCATACTTTACAGATTCAACCTAATTATTATTTCAAACTTGTACCGGACAACCCTGAGGAGTAGCTCGGTTGGTAAAGGCTTGAGGACAAAGTCCTTCAGGTCGCTAGTTAGAGCCCAGCATAGCCACTGGAGGCATTACAAACCGGCCGCGTCTCTAGGGCCCCGTGGAACTAACCGTGGTGCACCCGCCTTGAAACACCGGGACCCGGTGGGTACAGCTAGTCGGGTTCGCAAAGCGATGCCCAGAAACCATGGAAAAAAACTTGTACCGGACTCTGAAACCAAGATACGGGCCCGATACCATCAAGAAATGCATCAATTCATTTCTAAAAACCTTTATATTTTCCAAAAAATAATTTTTCTTTAAAAATTCATTTCTCGGGCTTGGGAACTCGGAATTCGATTCCGAGCATACGCCCAAGTCCTATATTTTACTACAGACCCTACAAGACCGTCGGATCACGAGTCCGGGTCTGTTTACCAAGAATGTTGACCAAAGTCAACTTTATTCAATTTTAAAAGCTAATTTCCATATTTTACTTAGTTTTCACATAAAAGCTTTCCGAAAACGCGTCCGGACTACACACGCAAATCAAGGTGAGATAAAAAGAGATTTTTAAAGTATCGGAACACAGAATTTGCTTTTCAAAACGAGTGATGACTCATCACAATTTCTAATTCCTCCACCGAAGAAGTGGTTAGTGTTTAAGGTAAATTATTTTTATCATTTTAAGGTAAATTATTTTTATCATTTTTCATCATTTTAATTTTTAACCTTATCTTGCAAAAGAGATCTTCCTTCCTTCGGAGTATTAATCTTGCAATCATCAGTTTTTCCATTAAAAGAATATGTCAAACAAGCATCATCCAATGAATACAACAACAACAACAACCCAGTATAATCCCACTTAGTGGGGTCTGGGGAGGGTAGTGTGTATGCAGACCTTACCCCTATCCTTGGGTAGAGAGCCCGTTTCCAAATAGACCCTCGGCATCCTTCTCTCCAAGAACTTCCCACCTTGCTCTTGGGAAGACTCGAACTCACATCCAATGAATAAACTACTGAAAAGAATGTAGCATGATCAGAAAAAGAAAAAATATTTCCTAACTCCCTCAAGCACAAAGGAATATAAAAGAGAGCGATACGAAAGAAAAAACAAAATATTTATCTAAACTAACCCTGATAAGGATTGAAGATCCAATATTGATCTTCCGGCTAAAAAATGAATTTGTTTTGTTGTTTGAATTATAGCATTCGAATTTCGAACAAAGTTGTTATTTCCATATTTAGATTAAGGTGAAGGCATAGCCAAGCTAATTAAAAGTTTAAATTATTGTAACGTATTATTGGAAAAAAAAATATCTACGAGCATTGCAACAATGTAATTACTACTAAAAAGAGCTAAATAATGACACATTGCTTTTAAGTTTTGTTTATGCTCTAAACTGTTCTTCTATTCTACAAGGGCAAAATAATATATTCCCTCATCATTACACAAGAACCACTGAAAAACCGTTTCTCAACCGCCTGAACACCACACAGCCAGAAAAACCCACTAAACCACCATCTCCTTCCACCGTCCAGCCATAATAAAAGGCCCAAATAACCACTACATTGTCAGCCGCCGTTAGAAGCAGCAACCACCAGTCACTTCCCCTGTTTTCATTACACCTCTTCTTCTCCACCAGTTAATTTCCACCTCCAAAAAAACCCTCACTCCACTCACCTGTCAACCCTTTTCTCCAGTTATTTTCATCTCCAGCGGCTCTCGTGGACATTTCCACAAACACCTACATTACATTCATTTTACAGCATCAGGACAATACACTACGCCCTTCCCACGGAGAATCACTTCCCTTCGTTGTTCTTCTTAGAGAAAATTCAAGAAATCACCACTTCACACGTAGAAAATCACTCACAGCAACGTACGCCCTTTCACTATTGGCTATCCTTCAATCTCTCAATCAGATTCTCTTCTCCAATTTTGATATCCCAATACAGTACATACGCCTGACTATCGACTGACGTACTCACAAACACCGCCCAAACAATTTCCAGCATTAGTTACTCCATTTCATCAACAAAAAAGGGGTTCGTCACTCATTTCCGGCGGGATTTCCGGTCAGGCTCGCGTTCATAGTTCGAGTTCCTGTCAAGTTCCGGTATAACGCCAGATTTCAAGAGTTTTAAAGGGGCTTCCATTTTTAAGGTACATTTCTTTTCCTTCCTTTTTTTTAGTTTACTAATATATCTCGTATTCTTCCGTTTTCTTTTACATAATTTCCTCTATTCCATTATAAGATGTTTCTTTGTTTGAATTCATTATTTGATCTACGTTGATGTTAAGCTGTTTTTCACCGGATTTGTTTGAGATTTCGGGGAAAGTTTAAAGCGAGGCTTGAACGAGTTTAGTGTTTTTTTTTTTTTTTTTTTGAATTTAGTTGAGCAAAATAAAAGTATAATGGAAGTTTCTTAAGAAATTAGGTTTAGGGTAGAAATCCAAACGGGGTTTGGGCTCAAAGATATTAACATTAATTAACTACAACATACAACACGTGATACATCAAAAGAAGTCAATGGACATAGAGGAAATTGAAATGACATACAAAGTTACTGACAAATTGGATCAATTGAGAGAATCAGATTTTTTTTAAAAAGATTGATGATGGTTATACGAAGTTAAAAGAGAAAGGACGAAAATAAATAGACCCCTAAGAAAATAGTGCTGAAAAATGAAAATAAATCTAAAATGTGATAAAATATATTATAAAAATATAGAAAGTTATAATCAAAACCAAAGGTGGATTTTATTTTATGTCTCTTGTGCCTAGATACCCTTTTTGTTTCTTTGACGGGGTTTATCTAATAGACTGAACTTTTTTATATGATTTATATAAAAAGATTTCAAGCAATATTCATCAACGCATAATTCTCAGACAATGGTTAAAAGGAGAAAACTAAAGAATGTATATTTCAACTTTTTTCTAGGAAAGTAAATGTTCCACTATACGAAGAAGAAGTATTCCTGGAAGCTTTTCCTAGTTTTTTCTGGATGTCCTTCTTATGCCAAATTTTTAATGCTTCATTTTCATAGCAGTATTGATTTGCTTAATTTAAACCATATTAAAATTACAATTACGATACATATTTGTGATAACTTTCATATTATCCTGTGTAGTTGAAGTGCGAAGTGTGAAATATAGTTTCATGACCAAGACGTCCGTTTGATGAGTTTATAATTTCATTCATATTCGTGTTTTTAGTAATCTCAAGCTTGACATATCTTTTTTGATTTATCTCTTTCTAAATTTTCATCTATTATATGGTAATACTAAAGTTTGATTTGTATTTCTTATAGTTCTATGAATGATAACATATATAGATGTCCTAATACATATATTAGAAATATTTTGCTAATTACAAAAAAAGAGTATATATATTGACTATTATCTTGAAAACATATTGCTTGTTAAGTGTTGAAGTGGTATGAAATTGTTGTTTGGTGCAATAACTTCACGTTCTGCTATATTTGTAACCAAAAAAAAAAAGAGAAGAAAAAAATAAATTAAACAAAGTTAACAGATGAACAAGAGAATAAGAAACGACATTGAAAAAGAAAAATTAGTGCATTCAGTAGTAGTAGCAACATAAAAATTCAAACTTGAGAAAATAATTTAGTCAAATTTAAAAAGTAAGATTGAAAATCCAAAAAATTTCAAAACAAAAACAAGAAGAGGTACATCATAAAATTGAGGTCAATCATTATCTCACGTGGGATTATTTTTGAAGAAATCACTATTAACATAAGCACAATATTATATTGCTCTCTCACGGTTGACAAATAGAAAGAGTTGAAGATTTTAATTTATGATAGATGATAGACAAATAACAAATCAAACTATTAATATTGTATATAAATAGTTTTTCGTAATTTCATTTGAGACCTCATTGAATCTATTTTTCATCTAATTAGGTATTGTTATTTGTTTTAATTGGTCAATTTAAATTATTTGTATAAAAAACTATATATTTTTATTTTGTGTTTCATATCATTCAAATGCTATAGCGGTAAAGTTAATATATTTTTAAACTTTATAACAACAACAAACCCAGTGATTCCCACAAGCGGAGTCTGGGGAGGGTGAGATGTACGCATCCTTACCCCTACCCTGGACAGAGAGGCTATTTCCGGAAGACCTTCGACTAAAGAAAAGATAAAAAGAAGTAATGACAACAAGTATAAACAACAACAAGATAAAAAGAGGGCCGAAGCTAAGGTAGCAATTAAACGGTAGTAATAGCAATCTAAGAATAAAATGATAATAAACTAACACTGATGTTGTAGAACTGAAGAAGACAAAGGAAGACACTCGACTATCCACTAACCTTTTACCCTAATCCTCGACCTCCACACCATCCTATCAAGAGTCATGTCTTCAGTAAGCTCTAGTTGTGCCATATCTCGCTTAATCACTTCTCCCCAAGACTTCTTTGGCCTACCTCTACCTCTCCTTTGACCCCCCAATGACAGCTTCTCATACCTCTTGACTGGGGCATCTGTGTTTCTCCTTTTAAGTGCCCGAACCATCGAAGCCTTGCCTCGCATCTTATCCTCCATGGGGGGCACTCTTGCCTTTTCCCGAATAACTTCATTCCTAATCTTATCCAACCTTGTATGTCCACACATCCATCTCTCAACATCCTCATTTCGGCTACTTTCATTTTTTGGACATGCGATTTCTTGACCGGCCAACACTCTACCACATACAACATGGTCGGTCTAACCACTACTTTGTAGAACTTACCCTTAAGTCTCAATGTCACATTCTTATCACACAAGACGCCGGAAGTGAGCCGCTACTTCATCCACCCTGCTCCAATACGGTGCGTGACATCCTCGTCAATTTTCCCATCACGTTGTATTATAGACCCAAGATACTTGAAACTCTCTCTCCTGGGATGACTTGTGTATCAAGTTTCACATCCATGCCCGCTTCCAGGGTAACGTCGCTAAACTTGCTCTCCAAGTACACCGTCTGCTCAACTTGAAACTTTTAGACTTAAGAAGTCTGTCTCCAAATCTTCAGTCTCTCGTTAACAACACACCATGTCTCATCAATCAAAACTATATCATCAACAAATAACATACACCATGGCACCTCCCCCTGAATGTGTCCCGTCAATGCGTCCATCGCCACAAAAAATAAGAACGGGCTAAGGGATGATCCTTGATGCTACCCCGTCACAACCAGGAATTTTTTTGAGTATCTTCCTGCTGCCCTCACTTGTGTCTTAGCTCGATCATATATGTTTTTAATCACCCTAATATATGCTATAATCACCCTAGTATATGCTATAATCACCCTAATATATGCTATAAGCACCCCTTTGTCATATGCTTTCCTTCTTTATTGGCCTATATTGCTCCACCAATCTCCTCACCACATAAATGGCTTCCGTAGTCGAATGACCCAGCATGAAACCGAAGTGGTTCTCGAAAATAGACACACTCTTCCTCACCCTCCCTTCCACCACCCTTTCCCAAACTTTCATCTTATGACTTAGCAGCTTAATATCCTTATAATTGTTCCAATTCTGGATATCACTTTTGTTCTTGTACAATAGAATCATCATACTCCACCTCCGCTCCTCAGGCATCTTCGTCGTCTTAAAAATGACATTAAACAACCTAAAGAGCCATTCCAAGCCCGCCTTACCTGCGCTCTTCCAGAATTCTACAGGGATTTCTTCTAGCCAGATCGCTCTACCCTGCTCATCCTACACATCGTCCCCCCGACCTCCCCCACTCTAATGCGCCTGCAGAACCCAAAATCGCGATGACTCCCGAAGTGCTCCAAATCTCCGAGCTCAATGTTCCTATCTCCCCCTTCATTCAAGAGTTTATGGAAGTATGACTGCCATATCTGCGCCTCATCCATCAAAACTCTACCCTCCTCGTCTTTAATGCACTTCACTTGATCCAAATCAGGAGCCTTCATTTCTCTCACTTTGGCCAGCATGTACAACTTCTTATACCCGCCTTTTTCCCCAATCTCCTCATACAAACGTCCCAACACTGCTGTTTTAGCCTCAATAACCGCTAACTTTGCCTCCTTCTTAGCCTTCTTATACCACTCCCTGTTAGCCCTCATCTCCACCTCATCTACGCTCTCTACTAGCTTCAAATACGCTGTTTTCTTGGCTTCCACTTTTTCTTGGACCTCTTTATTCCACCATCAGTATGGCCACCAGAGAAGCCCTTCGAGATCCCTAACACCTCTCTCGCAGCTCCTCTAATACAATTCGCAGTCGTGGTCCACATACAATTCGCGTCCCCACTACTCCTCCAGGCCCCCATAGCCAGTAGCTTCTCCCCTAACTCCTAGGCTTTGTCCTTAGTTAGGGCACCCCATCTGATCCTAGGTAAACCAGCCACAACCCTCTTTTTTCTCATCCGCATGATCGCCAAGCCCATAACCAATAGCCTATGTTGGGTCGTGAGATCCGTGCATAAACCTCTATCACACCTCTTGAGTAGTAGATAATCAATCTAGGTCTTGGCCACGGTACTTTGGAAGGTGACCAAGTGCTCCTCCTTTTGAAAACATGAGTTAGCAATCACCTAATAAAATGCTTTAACACAATCTAACATCAATGTAGCTCCTCCATTTCTGACGCCAATACTGAAGCCGCCATGCACCCCGTCATAACCTCCAGACGACGGCCAAATGTGGCCATTAAAATCTCCTCCTATGATAAGCTTCTTGGTGTGCGGAATTCCCAGCACCAACCCATCTAAGTCGTCCTAGAAACGCCTTTTAACTTCCTCGTCCAAACCCACCTGAGGCGTGTAGGCGCTAATTACTTGAATACATATAATGTATAAAATCAACATTTGTAGTAATATATCGTATATGTACTTGATGTATAACAGATTTTTCCTTTTACATTTGCACTAATATATCAAATATATTTACATATATTATATCAAATATACTATATTCTTTTTCTCCCTCCTTTTCTGAGCCGATGCTATATTGGAAAAATCTCTATCTTCAAGGTCTGCGTACACACCACCCTCCCTAGACCCCACCTGTGGAAATATACTGGGTTTGTTATTGTTGTTGTATATCAAATATCCTATATTTTTGGTATGAAGTACACTTATACCATATACCATCCGTATATACCGTATTATATATATATATA